CCTCTGTGGGTCGGAAGAAACGTCCCAGGTCGCTGGAATGTGTCTGGAATGTCTAGGTTTTCCTTCTCCACTTTGGTCACTTCAGCATGTGGATCTTCCAAGAAAGCAGTTTCACATCTGTCGTTTGGATGGGTTGCCGTATAGATGACAAAAACTGGCCTGCACATGTTGCACGCCATTTTCACCTCCAACGACTGGATGGGTTTCGCCGATGACCAGACGTTTCGCAATCTGCAATCAGATTGGAAGATCTGCTCTGCTCCACCTCCCCAGGCACAGCTCCACCTTCCCCTTCCCTCCTTTTTCGCCTCTTGCGACACCAAGGCGCAGCCAGCCCAGGAGGTTGCTCCGCGGGTCCCGGGTCTCGGTGACCGCCAGCGCCGTGTCGTTGGGCCCCCGGCGGTGCGGCGGCGCCGGGAGCACCGTCCTCGTGGGCGGTTTTCACCACGCCGGCGGGGTTCGACGTTCTTCTGCCCGGGCGTTTTGGTTGTCGTATACCTGGATCTTCCAACTGCAGTCAGAATTTCTGCCTTTTCATCCATAAAACCAGCTTAAAAGGCAGACATTTGGCATAGGTGGAAGATCCAGGTATATAGCTATATGATCTATATGGCGGATGGTATTTGGCGGAGAAGGGTTGGCCTATGCCCAATGGGAACTGATTGGCCTGCACATATTGGAAGCAGCTGGTACCATGAGCGAAGGCAACAAAAATGTGTTCCTCCAAATGTTTGGTCTGACTATACTCCTGGCTTTAACAAACACGTCCAAGTCAGTTTACTCACAAAGAGACCTGTCCGACATGGCTCTGTGATCTCCACCAAGCTAGATTTTGGATAGTAAGCAACACTGTTGACCAAGCTTCAACATTGTCTTGCAATCAAATCCTACTTGTGGATTCTTCTTGCACAAGTTCTTTTTGTTTCCATCCCAAACCGGAGCTGAAACAGGCTGAACCCTCCGCTGTCCACGGTCTTCCAGCTGCCGCTGTCCGTTCATGGCCGGGCATCCAGCTCGGCCCCACCACGGCGTCCATGCCCGAGAAATCCTCGTTGCGCATCTTCGTGGGCAAGAGTTGCAAATATCGACTCCCGTCCTGGCCGCTGGCCGTTCCGCCCAAAGGACCGAACACCGCGACGGACCGCGGGGGTGAGCGATAGACCAATCTGGCGGCTCGGTGTTTCCGGGTGAAATCGACCTGGGAAGGTCTGTTGTGCACGGTGCCATGCATGGCGCCATGCATCTGCAAAAAGAATGTTGAAGAGATGGGCTGACAATCCAATGCCCCAAAAGGGCTTTGAAGAGTCCTGGATTCATTTTGATGACTCGGAACAAAACAGGTCGTCTCTGAACTCATCAACAGACTCTTGAAGTAATGTACAGGTACCGTCATGGGGAAATACGTCTGGTCTGCGTGTCGCTTGGAGAATGCGTCTCTCGGCTCCTGTGGTGGCCAACGATACTTCACATAGCCAGACTTGATGATGGCATCCACGTCCGGCAGAAGAATCTCGCTAATGCCTCGCAGAACGCGAGTGCCGCGCCGTGGCGCCCGTTGGTGCGCCTCCCCAGTGCACCTGGAACTTCCAATGAACGAAAACAAAACGGACCGGTTCGCCTTATTATTGCAAATGTCTAGACGCGGAGTCTGGAGACATCTTCAGAGTTGAAGAGATATCTCCATTTCTCTGCGAAAACTCATTTCACCCACGAAACTTCGCCGCTTATAGTGTTCGGTTTTTCTCCTCCTAATCCCCTATCTTCCAGATCTGAATTCCCGATCTGTCCAGTGCGATGGAAGCGATGGAAGCGCTTGCCGCCGCTCCTGGCTTCGGCAGGTTCACAGAAGCCACCACATCTCCAGAGTTCAAGTCCAAGATCCTCACGACGAGCTCGCTCGGCTTCTTCTCGACGAGACGAGACGAGACAGGCCGCGTGGAGACCCGTGTTTCACCGGAAATCCTTCGGTGGAAGTCAGGATTCAACTCCAAGAGCCCTGCCATCCCTAACTTCTCAAACCTGAGAAAGCTCAGGTATAGCGGAAAATCGACCACATGTTCAATGAACACTCCTTAGATCAACTCCGATCCAGTCTGGTCTTTATAGATCGATTTATAGCCACAAGTTGGCCGTTGGGTCGCCGCACAGCGGGTCGTTCGGTCGAGGGGCGGCTCGCCAGAGAGATCTGGATTGCTGTAGACGTGGAGGTGGAAATTGGGATCTTCATACTCCTGAAGACGGCTTGGAAAAGGGTCGAAGCTGTTTTTGTTGGGGGGTTCCAAGAGGTCAAACGAACGTTGTTGGAGTTCACTGTGAGACATGGACACCAAAGACCGCCCCCGAAACAGAAACTGTTCAGCGAGAGGAATCCTTCGGGATGACTGGAAAGGGTGTTTTGAAAACACCGTCGACATTGGAGTGACGGTCGCTGTGATACAGTCGGCAGCGACAGTCACTCACTCAGCCCGAAATTCCGATTTGCTCAGTCTCATTCTGAACCAAGCCCTCTGGCCTCCAGCTTGGAACGAACCAGGAACTATAGACAACTGACATGAATTTGTCAGAAGATTGCATGCTTCACAGCATTTCGCCACGTTCGAACCTGGTTGAGATCTCAACTGCTCAGAACATAGTGGCAGGACCGTTGTCGTTCTGCCCTGAAAACGCATTCGCCCGCCTCCATCTTCTCGGGGACGACTGAGAAGAGCTGCCAATCACCTTGAGATCTCGCGATTTCGCGCGGACCGATGAACAATTACCATGAGGAGGACTTGGCAAAACGTTGTTCTTTTCCTCTCCAGTTCGTCATTGAAGAGCAAATGGCCGTCGTTTCTGCTCGCCACATGGGATTCAGGAGGGCCACTTCCCCTCCGCCGAGCTGCCCAAGAGCAGGAACTCTTCTAAACCGTTGAGTCGAATGAGCTCCTGAAGCTTCACCGATTCGACGAATCATTCGTGACATCATGGTCACTCCCGATAGATTGAACAGTAACGAGAAGATCAGAACATGGCTAGCCAGTGTCTGTGGAGAAATCGCTCTTGTGGTGGGCCACAACCATGCATGATGTCATCATAGGAGTCTTTTCATCGTCATAGGAGTCCATGCTCAATTCGCCTTGAATCTGGCTCCCTCGATATCCCTCCCCAGGGCTCCAGTCGTACCTCCTCAGAAGGTATTTTGGACACTCCAAACCCACCCCAAACACCTTCTCAGAAGGTACGATTGGGGGCCCATAGATTCAGTATACGAACAAACACTGCCCTGACCGCCGCTCGCGATCCGACTCCAACTCTCCCAGAGACCGAGACCGCTCCATGTCGTGTTTTCCACGGTGGACCGTTTGAACGTTTGGATGTTGAGGACGTGGAGGACGTGTCTCCCTCTTGCAATGAACGAAGATGAAGGAAACGCCGCAGAGCAGCAGAAGCTGCAGCTGGGCAATGAGGCTTAGAGTGATGACTAGTGGCAGCCAAGGGTCTACTAAACTCCAGGTCATCAGCATGGAATTCACATTGTTCCAATATCCTTGGCCCGAGCTGTGTTGGCCGAAGAGGCAACGAATGTCACCGGATTTGCATTGGATGATCGCCACGGTGGTCAAGGGTGAAGGTCTTCCCACGAACGGCTGCTCGAACTTAAGAGTCGATGCATTTTCTACCCCAGTTTCGACGTTTTTGGGCGAAAACCGAAGGAAGGAACAATGGGCACCGGCACTTCAGTGGACAACATGAACACATCAAACAAATCCAAAAACCCGGTGTTTTTCGGGGTGCCAACTTGTTGCTGGGCGAATCCCTCGCGTCCGGCGTTTCGTTTCCGGTCTCATCCGCGGGACTTCTCTGAGTGATGGGATCTCGGAGTTCTCTCCAGCCACCCCAGACGGGGACATCAAAGTAGAGCCGGAAGGGATCATAGCCTCTCGGTTCGGCTAGAGAAGAACACACTCGGTTTGGGCTTTGGGAGGTGACTTTAAGGCTTTGGTATCTATACTTGGGTAGGGTATCGATATATTAAGGAGAAATAACAAGTAAATTGCTCCTTCAGATGACCCTTTCCGACTCTTCACAACTCACCTTTGGTGGAAAACACAACTTGATCTTCCTGTTCCAAAACTGTTCAGACCTCTTGTTGCACCTGACCAGTCAATCACCGGAGAAGACCGATGTTCGCTTCGGTCCCGCCTGCCACCGGCAGCAAGGTCGCCTGAGGCGAGACTCCAGGCTCAGCCATGACTCGGTCCACGTGCGGTGCGGCGGTGCCGATGCCAAGGGCGTCAGCTGAACTCGCTCCTTCGCTCCTTTCTTGAATCCATGTGGATCTGTGGGTTCATGAGGTGTGAAGAACGGAGATCTATTTGAGTTTGTATGTGGATGAAAGGTGACCAAAACGAGGTGGAAGTACAGGTGGAAGTACAGCTGGTTCTGGGTTTGTCTAATCCTGTATGTGTTTCTGTTACGTATGAGATAGTTGGAAGTGAAAACAGTCACGGCCACACATGCCTGCATATTTGATTTGTTTTGGGATTGTATTCTTTTGTGCCCGACATGTATCTGCAAGTTATTGCAAGCCTGCTGACGTGCTTCTTGTGCTCAATCTTTGTGAAACTTCTCTGGATCCCCTTTAGGGACAGAGGGCACGAAATACTGAGCCAAGGAGATGCAGTATGTATATGCGAAGACTTGGGGGATGCGACGGCTTAGTGAGACGATTCTGGCGACCAAAGATTTGTGACAAACTCCCAAGAGTTCTCAAAGATTGCATTTATTCACCCCACTTCAGAGGGTTGCGACCTTCGAAGAGACCTTCGTCAACTTTGACGCATCGTGGCGAGCCATGACATCACTGACATGACAAATGCACGCACACGCTGACCCTCAAAGAGACGGATCTTGGAAGGATGTCGCACCTCGAGTCCTGCCCTCTGCGCTGGGGGTCGCTTTGTTACGTGGCGGCGCGGCGCGGTGTGGTCGCGTGTCGCGCGTCGAGCCAGGTGCAGCACCAAGGATGTGGGCGCTGGAGTGCCAAAAGACATCCTGCCGACAGTGCACGGTGCCACATGAACGTCTGCCAAAACGTCCTGTCAAGTAGACGAACATATGATTTAGCAACCCCTAGGGATCCAAGTACGTCCTCAGAAGGTACTTGGACCCTCCAAACCGACATAAACAGTTTCCAATCACCTTCTGGCAAGGTACCAAGGTACTTGGATCTCTAGGGAACGTTCTTGCTTTTGAGCGTTCTCTATCGCTTTGCTTCGCCCAATTCCTGAAAAAATCATACCACATCATGCCACTCTTGACGAAATGAGTCATTGCTGGAGGTGGCTTGTGGTGGTTCAAAGGTTCGCTGAAGGGATTCACAGGTGGCAATTGCATGGTTCCTTTTTTTACAGCCCATTTTGGAAGATCGAAGCCCCTTCTGTGACTGTAAAAACATCTAAATCCAAGTAATATCGCCCTATATAGGTCACTGCACTTGTCCGTCACCCCACGCGAGGGGAGTGAATGCTCCGCACGAAGCCCAAACGCGGGAGAGCGCGGCATATGCGCGCGGTGCAGCGCCGTGCAGCGCAGCGCCTGGCCCTGGGGATGATCGAACTTCAGAAGTTCCATGCGGCAACTGCCTTCCAAAGGCCTCGTGGAGACGTCTCGACTGAGACCCGGACGGATGCGCCACAGAAGATTAATCTCCCAAGACGGGGTGGTGTTTGGTCCCAGCCAGTGAGTGGATGTGACAGGGGCACCCCGACTTCCTCCAAGTTCGGCACCCCTTTGATCCCCTTTGTGACTCCTGGTAGTTATAGAGACTTGTTACTGTACGCTGCTACGTATGCTTTAACAGTGGACGTCACCAGGCAGATGATGTTGCAATTTCGGCGGGGCCTCGTGAGGTCCCAAAGCACACTCGTCTCATCCACCTCCAGCTCATCCTGGAGACGCCAAAACCACCGGCTCGGGCAGCAAACCCGGAGAGGGACGAACGACAAGACACACGCCCGGCCAAGCGTTCTTGGGAGACTCGACATCTGGACACATCTGGACGCAACTCGTCTCAAGCGCAATTCTGTGACGTCCCGTTCGGTTCGTGTCCGATCGTTCAATAGTAGTAAGGCCAGGAGCCCCGTTCGTAGCGTCCGAAAGGCTCCCATGTTTTGGAGACATCTTTCAAGCCACAAAAATCATTCTCAGCGGCTAAACCGGTTGATCAAGCTTGGGAGCGCCCACGTGCAAAGATCCGGCATGCGCCTCCTCAATGTCTGCGACCACACATTGTTTCAGCGATTCCACCGTCTCTTTGTAGATCACCTGTGCGGTCTGTGCGGGGCTCTTCGGATTTCATCGATTACCATGTGCATGACTCTCATCGGAAGAGACATCTTTGGGGCAACCCTATGAACATCACTCTGTTGTGTCAATTTCTTTGTCGGGATCGTCCATACCCAAACGGTCGACCAAACGGGTATCAATCTGCTCGAACCGCTGGAGGGATGTTGGAGGTTGTACAGCTTAGGTGCTTAGATGTGCTTAGTATGCCACCTGGAAAAACGCCAACAAATCCCTTTGTTTCCTGGTTTGATCATCAAATCTGTTTCAGAACTTTAAGAATTGAGTTCTTTTTTATGTATCTATATATCTTCCCACAATGCACAACTCTATATCTTTTTGCTTTGATAGATGAACACGTCGACATTTTGCACACTTGAAAAATCATATGGCCATGCAGTTTGACCTCTAAACAATCCATTTCTATCAAACCCAAAAAGTTCACGCCATATTGAAGTCTTTGCCACGTTCTGGATGTGACCTCCTCGTGTTTTTATGGCTACTAAGCTACTCCTCTCCATGTCGCTGCGAGCTCGTCGCCGGCCTTGGCCACGATGGCGGACTCGGCCAAGCCTTTGGAAATCGACATCCTCGGACGCGTTCCGCGGCATTCGGCGCTCGGCTGCCTCGGCCTGCTGCAAACAGGCCGGCATGCGCCAGGGCTCAGGGTGTTTCCCATGTCGCTGGCAATTTCTCAGAAACCGTTCCGCTCTTTTCGTTGCAGCGCGACTCCATCACCGAGCCGCGCGATATCCATGGGGCTTGTCTCGAAGGCCTGGGCAGGTCACGGCCGGGTCGTGGGTCCTTTTCACCCGGTTTGGGTAGGCGAAGGCGGCGAAGCCGCTGCTCATCTCGTGTGATCTGGTGAGTCCTCTGGTCTGTGAAAACACACGCGCCGCGAGTGATACGATATGATCCCATGGGGAAAGAGACGAGGAAGTGCTGTTTTCGTGTTTTTTTTGTCTTTTCGTTGTTCTTCTCGTCTCACATCATCTCGCCTTGCCATCTTTCACCGTGCCATCTGGGAGCTCGATCTGGCGCAGAAAGGAAGGGAAATGGATGGACTTGGGATTCTTATTGTTGTTTTTTTGCGAAAAAACTGGCAAGGGTCTTGACCTTCTCTTTTTTCCAGGTACTTTTGATCTGAAAAACTCGACTATCAAATACTATCAAAGGTTGAAACTCGCAATGAAGGGCTGATCCTCGCGCGATTTCGAGGAATTCGGCTGATCCATGCTGATCAACTGAGTCTGTTTTACTGGTCCTGCGGCCCTGCCTTGATGTCTTTTCGGGGCTTTCCGGAGAGACCTGACGTGTACTTTGCATAGAGCTTGTCCCAGACCTGGCGACGGAGCGGGTTTAGCCAAATTCGGTGTTGAGGGAAGAGTCTGACGAAAGGACAACACATATACCTGCCAAAAGGCAGAAATTCTGCACATGCAGTTGGAAGATCTAAGTATATAATACCTGGACCATCCAATGGGTGTCCAATGCAAATCGCTCCAGCCAGGACACTCGGAAAGTCGCATGGTCCTGGTACACACCTTTGTTCGGCCCTTTGTTCCGCGGTCCCCGTGATCCACGCGGCGTCGGCGGAAACAGACCGGATGCGGTCTGTTTCCGGCGGCCTCCAGGCGATGTTTGATGTAGGGCGCGGCCTTTTGGACTTTGAACCTTGGGCTGTCTGCAGCTGGATGGTCTGGAGTTCCCAAGTGAGTGGTCTGGGACAGGGGGGGTTCCTTACTAACCTCTTAGAGTTCAGCACCCAACTCCATGGAACATGCTTTTGACTTGGGAAACAACACATGAGTTCGATGTCCCTTTTGACTTCGGACTGGTCGAAACATGTTCCTTTCCGTCCTTCGCCACGAATCCACCTGAACCCGTTTGCAGCCCCCGCTCGCCCTCGAACTTCCCCGTCTCGCCAATCCTGCGGAGCAGTGCGACGGACCCGTCCGGGTAGCGGACCGGTCGCAAGGACGAGCAGAATCTGCGTCAGGGAACCGGTCGACAGGTTAAGTGACCTGAACGTTCGGACCCGGAACTCCTGGGGTACCGAACTGGGATAGTCGAACGTTCGGGTCCTGACCCACCTCTGTTGGAATTGCTCTATCCCAGACACGACCTGTCTGGCACGACCAGTCAACCACCCCCGCCTGAGGGCAGTCCGGACTGGCAGTCCCCAGACTCGTGTCTGGCAGTCCCATGGGGAGGGTCCAAGTGATGAAACCGGGAAACAAATACCATCCGAATCCCTGTTGTTGCTCATCTCCCCCGGTCGTTTTGCTTGCTTCGGAATCAGCTTCAAGCACGGCCCAAATTGGTGGGCCGTCTCTCCTGGGACCGCCTCCAGCAAACGCACGCTTCCCGGCCGCCGCGGCCATGGCGCACCCTCCGTCGATCGTGTGGCGCAGGCTCCGCTCGGTCGGTGCTGTCCGGTCAGGCCACGGTGTCGCTGTGTCGGCGGTTTCGGTTGATGGTCGGTCGCTTTCTGCGGCGTTTGGGCGTCCAAAACTGCTACACAGCTTCGGTGGTGCGCAGGCAGAACGACGGCATACGCGGCGACGCCCACGGCGGTGTGAGATGCGATGGCCGTCTCGCCATCTGTTTCACCAACCGACCAGTGAAGACCTCCCAAGTTCGGTCATTTTTCCCCTCGTCCGCGATCGTTTTTGGGTGCACCAGCCCACGGGCAGCGAACACTGTGCCTCGAGGTGCACTTCACACGATCATTCGGAACTCTATGAACTCATTGGCGAAGTTCTGTCGACTGACAAATTATATATATAGAGAATGCGAACAGCTTTTTCGCAGGGGCACATGAAAGCGGAGAAAAACGGAACGGAAACATCATGGTACCAGACCACGAAATCAATCCCGCAGCTTTCTTGTGAAGAACCAAACCACGGCTTGACCGCTTGAGCCGAGCCCAGTGGAGCTGCTGACCCTGCCCCTGCGTACCGGCCACTCTACGATAGAAAACGCATCACAGGGAGGCTTTGTAGGCTTCCATCTTTTCCTGAGTGCTGGAGCTGACATGTCAGTTCAAGTACCAAACACATCCAACACAGTCTTCTAAAGAATATAGAGATGTTCAAGCCTTCAAGCAGGCACAAGTGTTCCAAATGAAGACACGGATCGACATACTCAGCCTTCAGCTTAGCAGCCTTTGTCTCCTTGGTGGGTGCTGATGAACAGTTCGATGTTTATTGTTAACACCCTGTGGCTTTCTCGGAATCCATGTAGCTTGACTGTGAAAGTGCTCTCACATGCTCTCCACCGCAAAGTAGAAAACGGATTCACTCCACTGAATACACAGGCACGATCACAGTGCGGCTAAGACTCATATGGCTTCTTCTTAGCAGCTGCCAGCTTGTTCCACTGTGCACCTCCCTCTTTCAAGACCTCTGTAACTTTGTGGTCTTTGGGCAAAGACTTGACGATCTTCGCACGGTTGTCTGCCATAAACAACAGGAAGCCAGACAAGGGTCTCTTTGGCATGTTAGGATCTCGTGCAGCCTTCTTGGAAACGCGCTTTTGTTTCCTTTGTACAACGCCCCCTGCTGCTTTGAAGGCCGCCATTTCCTTGTCAAAGACAGCCTTGGCTTTGGCGTATGCCATTTGATACGGCTTCTTCTTGGCAGCTGAGAGTGCATTCCACTGTTTGCCGGCTTCCTTGGCAACGTCTGCCACGGAGTTCGTGCCTACCTTCTTCACAATGGTTGCCCGGTTGTCGTTCAACCAACCTTGGACTTGAAGAGCGTGCAATCTTGGCATCGTGGCTCGTATCATGGCAGAATGCATGAGGCATACACAGAACGTCAGCCAAGCAACCCATGTAGGCAGTACCCGGTCTTTTTGGAGGTACCAAGTCTCCACTATCACCTGAAGGATGAAGTGGTCAAAAGAGGGATCCAAAAACACTTTGGGGACACTCAAGCATGCGTCTGTTGAGAGATAAACCTTAGCTCCAAACTGCTCGTTTTCTTGGCCATGGTGGCCACACGACTCTCCACTGGCATGGTCTGCAAGAAGCACTGCATGGAGCAACCCATGAAGAGAATCAAGAGCCTTGTGGCAAGATGTGGCAAGGCAAAGGCTACTCTACATGAGACTCTTGTCAACATTTGGATTGACTTGTTGTTAAGAAGATTGCAGGGAATTTGCCGAGCAACAGTGAACGGATGGGAGCCATTCTGCCCATTGCTATCTCCAATCACACGTGAGCCACTGGGAATAGCGAATGACCCTTGAGCCGCTTCTGCGGAGGTCAAGACCTGCTGAGTGTGAGCAGTGCTTTGAGCCAGGCACCTGGTGGCAGGGATCTTCAACATCTGGCGCAAACCAGAAAAGGGACACGATTCTTTAGGTTGGAGGCCAGTGCTTTCAGACACGATCCTCTCCTCTCCTTTCAGCGGGCGATTCTTTTTTCACACGAGAGACCAGGTGCCCCACACAGCGTGGAGAGACCACGCGGCTGTGTATCTGGTGGGAACGTCTCGGATGATCCTGTTTGTATCGTCTGTCAGCGACAAATTAGGGACATTGATGGCACAAGACAGAAAAGCTGGGGATAGCTGGGGCCCAGCTTTGAAGTATGTCTTGGCGACATTGAAGAAGTGGCATATTCTGCAGTGTTTGGAAACCACAATTCTTGATTCTATAGGACTTCAGGTAAAGTAGTTGCCAAAAGATGTTTTTGTGCTTTTACCAGGGTCACCCATACCCCTGCTCGCCACTCTATTACAATATAACGCATCATAGGGAGGCTTTGTAGGCTTCCATCTTTTCCTGAGTGCTGGAGCTGACATGTCAGTTCAAGTACCAAACACATCCAACACAATAGGAGAACGGGGTAGATACGAGTCTTCTAAAGAATAAAGAGATGCACAAGTGTTCCAAATGAAGACACGGATCGACATACTCAGCCTTCAGCTTAGCAGCCTTTGTCTCCTTGGTGGGTGCTGATAAAAAAATTTGATGTTTATTGAAGTTTATTGTTAACACCCTGTGGCTTTCTCGGAATCCATGTAGCTTGACTGTGAAAGTGCTCTCACATGCTCTCCACCGCAAAGTAGAAAACGAATTCACTCCACTGAATACACAGGCACGATCACAGTGCGGCTAAGACTCATATGGCTTCTTCTTAGCAGCTGTCAGCTTGTTCCACTGTGCACCTCCCTCTTTCATGACCTCCGTAGCTTTGTGGTCTTTGGGCAAAGACTTGACGATCTTCGCACGGTTGTCTGCCATAAACAAGAGGTAGCCAGACAAGGGTTTCTTTGGCATGTTAGGATCTCGTGCAGCCTTCTTGGAAACGCGCTTTTGTTTCCTTTGTACAACGCCCCCTGCTGCTTTGAAGGCCGCCATTTCCTTGTCAAAGACAGCCTTGGCTTTGGCGTATGCCATTTCATACGGCTTCTTCTTGGCAGCTGAGAGTGCCTTCCACTGTTTGCCGGCTTCCTTGGCAACATCTGTCACGGAGTTCGTGCCTACCTTCTTCACAATGCTTGCCCGGTTGTCCTTCAACCAACCTCGGACTTGAAGAGCGTGCAATCTTGGCATCTTGGCTCGTATCATGGCAGAATGCATGAGGCATACACAGAACGTCAGCCAAGCAACCCATGTAGGCAGTACCCGGTCTTTTTGGAGGTACCAAGTCTCCACTATCACCTGAAGGATGAAGTGGTCAGAAGAGGGATCCAAAAAAACACATTGGGGACACTCAAGCATGCGTCTGTTGAGAGATAAACCTTAGCTCCAAACTGCTCGTTTTCTTGGCCATGGTGGCCACGCGACTCTCCACTGGCATGGTCTGCAAGAAGCACTGCATGGAGCAACCCATGAAGAGAATCAAGAGCCTTGTGGCAAGATGTGGCAAGGCAAAGGCTACTCTACATGAGACTCTTGTCAACATTTGAATTGACTTGTTGCTAAGAAGATTGCAGGGAATTTGCCGAGCAACAGTGAACGGATGGGAGCCATTCTGCCCATTGCTATTCCAGCTCCAATCACACGTGAGCCACTGGGAATAGCGAATGACCCTTGAGCCACTCCTGTGATCGGTATCGGTCGTAGAATCTCTCCACGAGTCTCGGCGTGTCGATTTAGCACTGGAACTGTTCGCCGGAGCTCGTGGAGAGGATGTTCGGAGCGTCGACACGAACACCATCGTTAGCGAAACCCATTGCTCCGTTCCTAGCGATGCCCAGGAGGCCCCGTTCGTCGCGATGCCCGACATGCTCCGTTCGTAGCGTCCGATCGTTCCTACCCACACATCTTTGACTTGTCCAAGTTCAGTAGTTACTAGCTGCGATATCTGCAAGACGCCAGCCGACTCTTTTTATCCACAAGAAATAGACGTCCGAGACTCCCCAGCAATCGTGTCTCCACCACTTCTCCAAGGATTTTGCCCAAAAGACTCCATGAACCATCATAAATCAAGCTTTTAATCCATCAGAAAAAGTACCTTGATCCCAAGCAATTACAAGACATATCAGAATCATTAAGTTAATCAAACTAGTATATATAAATCAATTATAGATGGAACAATATTGAACTCTCTCTACACATTCATCGGTCGGAAGACACGGATTGGGACGCCTCGCGGGGGTTCATTGGCTCACGGCGCCTTCGCGGCGCCGTTCCCATCACGACCTGAAGGACCGGTCGACAGAAGCAACATGCGTTCGATGTGCTTAAGCAACACTAAGTAACACACCCCTTTCCGCCCGCGGTGTTCCAGGCAACGCGCCGCGCGAACAAACCGGATGGTGAACGGACGCGAAAGCACAGCGCAGCGGTGGCGCGAAAGCGTTCGGCGCTCGGCGCGTCCTCGGCGCGTCCGGAAGGCGCCTCACGGGGGACCACGGGTGCAAGGAACCCAAGGATCCACGGGAGTCGCGCGGAAGCCTTGGTGCATCGGCCGGTGATAGGTCTGGGGGGTGACCTGGTGAGGTCAAAGGATCTGCAGCCATGACATATAGCAAGTACAACAGATATATGTCCATTCCATATATGTAATATTATATAGGTTTCCTGAAGTCATCTGCAGTCTTCATGAAACATAAGACGATTCAATGACTGTGTCACGACAAAAGGTTCACAGAATCCATGAACACGTCGGGAGATGAACGCTGAATGCACCGCGTTTCTCTTTCTGCTGGCATGTGCCTCACTGTGCCTTTGTACTTTGGTCGGGTAGCACACCTTGCATGCACTTCAAAGCAGTTATTACACTTCTTGAAAGCCCAAAAGTTAGTCTGGCTATCGTCCTATAGATGTCAAGGGTACTATGACAAACAAGATGAAGTCTACGGAGTCTTGCAAAGAACGGACTGCATGAAGGGTGGATCCTGTAGACTGTCATCCTTGACCAGGCTGGCGCGACACGGAAGCTTACTCAAGAAAACAGCCTTCTGGTCATCTACACTACGTGCTCCCAAACCAAACCAAAAAGCACCAGTTCTTCAAACTGTTTGAACAACATCCATGAACTATGAACTGAATGACCCCAAAATGAGCCTTCCAAATGAGCCTCCCCACCACCCAGGACCGACCCACCGGGATGGTTTGGAACCCCACTCGCTGCACCCGCGCGGCCGAGCGTTGGACTCGTCGCTGGAGGAGTCACCTGACACGTCCTCCGTCGATTCCTCGCCGCTCTCCATCATCTGCGACGGGTGGACGGTGTTCACGGCGGGTCAGTGGTTCTGCGGTGGGGCGCAGTTTTGGAGTGGTTCGGGATGGAGCAGTTCAAGCGGTTTTGGAGCCTTTTTTGAAGGGTTAAAACAACGGGCCTTGGAGCAGCATTGGGTGAAGATTGGACGTGTTTGGAGGATTTTGGAGGTCTCCAAGTCCGCGAAGGGCGCCTTTTTGGAGACCTTTTTCATTCACGCAGCGAACGCTCGCGCTCGAATCGAGGTTGCGCAGGACATGGCGAGATATCTATCTGAAAGAACCTAACCACTCGATGAGCATCTCGTTTTAATAATTCTCGATATGGCAACTCTTGGCTCTGCACTCTGTGAAAACACCTGCACTCTGCTCCATATCAAAAGAACTGGCATCGATCTGCGTCGATGTCTTCAAATCCACACGTCACACGTCGCAACACGTCGTCGACCCGTTTTGGAATCCACCGGTCGACACCGGACGCGTCGACGTGTCCATCCCGCTCGGCCTGCTCCTTCTTCGACCGACAGCGACATCGGCGACGGCAGGGGCCGCAGCAGAAGACCTCGCTCAGCAACCTGCCGCCGCTGCCGCTGCCAATTTGTAGCCGCAAAACCAACAAAAAATAGTCCCAGGGTACTTTTTAGGGTGTGTAAAGCTCCGGGTTTTAAATCGTTGGACTGTTAATTTTGAGAGCAAAGCAAGCAAAGCACAGAAACTTTTTTTGCTCCGGGCAGGTGCAATGCTGCAATGACGGATTGGCCAATCCCTCGCCGGCAAAACACATGAAGAAACTCAGACGAACGGCCTTGGTGTTGGACCGCATCAAGCTATTTAAAGTCACTTTTTAAATCATGTTTTTTGATGAAACCGTTTGTATAAAAGATCACGAAAGGTAGCTTGAGCTACCTGAGTTCTCCTTGCTTTAGCAAAAATGTATTACAATCTGGGATTGTGCATTGAATTTGGTCCTGTAAGAAATGATTCTGTTCGTTGGGGGGGGGGGCCGCCCTGGATCAAATCCCCCCTGCGCCGGGTCACGCCATCATGGACTTCTACCAGGATTACTTGTGATTGCCTGCTACCTTTCGTTCACCCCCCTCCTCTCTCAAGTCTTTCCCCAGCAATCAACAGCCCAACGAACTGCAATGCCACGCGGTTTCTTTGACATCGGTCGAGCAACAAGAGAAAGACATAGAGCAGTGTGGGGACGTTCATGAAGAAGATACAACCTCAGCTGAACGGCGGACCCAACTCAACTGAGCTGGAACGCCTTCTGATTAGAAGACAAGCTAAGCAAACCTGGCTTGTAGGTTACCACTTTCACCTTTCTTCTGCAAACCCACCGTCTGATATTATACCAGTATCGATCATATATATATATTACTTATTAATTGTGATTCTTCTAGACATTCCATGACATTCCACAGCGCACTTCTGTATAAAAGAAAAATCGCTCGTGTCCTGCCGCTCGCTGCCGTGTCCCGACACGGAAAACAACCATTTATTCCAAGAGGCGGAGACATCTCTCGATACAGCGGCAGCAGCATCTGGCTTGTCGAGCAATGCAGGAGCAGCAATCCCTTAGACGCTTAGTTCGGTCGCACATCGTCTCTTTTCTTTTTTGTTCTTGTTCTAGCCCTCGCCCTCGCACTATTCGTTTGCCATCTTATATATTATAGGGAAACTTCCGTTGCGGCGAGCTTTTGGATCAAGACTTTCGGTCCCTCCCAGAACCTCCGTGTCAGTACGTGCCACATTGTATACCCCACTGAGTATAGTCATGCTTCACCACTAGCATGAAACATGTCACGTGTCACATGATGTCACATGAAAACTCACATGTCACATGAGATGAACCCAGTGAGTGCTGGACTTTGGAGATGCACCGAGTGAGTGCAGCGCGACGGCGCTCGCGCCCGGCGGACCGGGGGGGGAGAACCGAGTGGCAACCGGTCACTGCGACGTCGGTTCTGCGAAGCAAGTGGCCGGTTCTCCTCGTAGCAGTCTTCTAAGATCACCGATTGGGACGTGCCTTTCGTAAAGACCTCCTGCAGAGCGAGCAAAGATCACGTTGATTCTTTCCTTTTAAAGAGCAATTGGTTGTTTTTCATATTGATCTTAGCTTGGAGGCCACTCGCTTTTAGCTTTTCGAGGCGGGCCATTCCTAGTACCAATTTTTTCCTTTTCGCTCGACCTTTCCGACGTTTTGGATCCAGGTATCTCAACCAACACGAGTCGCTGGGAGAACCCTCGGTCACGCGGTGGGTCACTGCCTTCGAGCCAATGGCTAGTCTAAACGCACAGTGCAAAAGTCCCAATTCCTGCCTGCCATACCGAATGAGTCACACGGAAGGGTTCAAGGGAGGCCAATTCAGCCCTTTCTGATCCTTCCTTGTCTGGAAAATGACCTGCAAGCCTATCCGGTCAGGCGTCCACTTAGCCGCCTTCACCTCATTCCTTCTCAGCACTCCGCATCACTCCGCTCTCCGCGCCTGCGCGTTGCGGAGCACGCCATCAGGATCGTGCATGGCCACATGGGCGATCTGCGCGGAGACCTCACGACGCGGGTCATCTAATGCGTCCAGTCGGCGCAAAGGGATGAAACGAGGCAGCGCAGGGGCCGCTAATGCCAGCAGTCATGGTGAAAGAGACACCCAAACAACCGGATGGTATAGCAAGAAGCTACTAGGATGGAGGTGATCGCTATTAGCAAGACCCAAAAGATTTTGTGTGATCCATGGGTGATCCAAACAAACACCTGTCCAACTACTGAGGTGCCACCGGAAGGACCTGAGACGGAGCTGTTTTCGTTCTATCGACTTGACCTGGAGAACTTGAAGCTATGAATCTATCCTCCCAGATCCATCTATTGGCCTCTTCCATTGTATGTCCTGAAAACCCACATGGATGAGGTCAGATTCGCAAGTTCACCTCATGAGGCCGCCGGTGACCGAACGCCGCACCGCGGTGCTTCAGCCCGACCCGCAGCGCCGCGCCACGCGCCGCGCCGCGGGTCGCACCTGTTTGGCTCGGAGTGTCCAGTTGTCCTGGCCGCGTTCGAGGCGTTCCTCGGTGACCGTGCCTTCTGGATCACCTGACGAACCGTGCTTAAAGGCCACGAGATGTGCACTCCGAGGAGTGAGCTTCTCCAAAATCAGTGGAGATGGTTGAAAAGACCTGTTTTCAGATGCTTTCAGGTCTTTTGTGTTGGTCATCTTTCGTCCCAACCCCCTGCTCTTCAATCTCCTCCTCAGAGGTGTCCAAGGCGATGTGAAGCAACTTCACCAAACCTCTTTGGTGCGGCTTTTGGGTCCCACCATGCAACCGAAGATGCATTGTCCAATCACCAGCCTGTGGGTGGTGGATATGTCATGATATGTCTATGGTTCCAAAAACAGCTGAAAGAGAGAGTCAAAGCTGGATGATTGATCTGTTAGGCCTGTCAATGTGAGATGATTTGAGTCTCAACATGTGTCAAACCAACAGATGCATGCTTCATGAGATAAGCAAACCGCACGTGCTTTCCTTGGAAACCTCACGGCTTTTACAAGTTCCAACTTCTCCAAGCTAAGCTTCTTACCAAGGCTTGTTTCACAACAAATCCATGTCACCTGTGGGTGAAAAGCAGGACCTTTCCGTTGACCCGTCCCGATGTTGCCGGGACTGGGGCCGGACCGGGCCAAGGAGCGTGTGGAGTCGTTCGAATGGTCCCAGTTCAAAAGCCGATCGACCTGGCGCGGCGTCGGCGTCGGCGTCGGCGCGGTGGGTGTCCACGCGGGGGGACAACGGGCGGTGGGTTGGTTGGCTGAAACGCTGCGCCGGGCCGGCCGTTCCACCGGATTCTATAGCCGTTCCACCGGATTCGATATGGAAATGGTCTTGACCCACAGAGCCGGAGCTTGGGCGAAGCCTCTGAGACGCTTCGCGCCTTCACCGGTTTCGAGCCGCAGCCCAGCTCCGCCACACGCGCAGCCCACCATCTTTGATCCAGCAGCCTGGGCTGCCGGCTGGTCCTTCTTTCTACGTGGTTGCCCTCTGGACAACCAGGCACTGATTTTAGACCATTTGATATGGAGTCTATCATTAGAATCGATCAAGATGATCAAGTAAGTCTATAGCATTTCTGGATCTGGTATGAGCCGGTGACTTCGCCCAAACGACAACCACCCTGAACCACTGCTTTTCCCGCTTCTTCTGTCAGACATCCCCTTTGGATGGAACAAAACGCGGCAACGAAACGCATCCCAAGAGGCAGGATGCCACTGGTGATGATGGGCACTCCAGCGCGGAGGGCTTCAGAGGTCACTCCCAATCCACCCTGGAGAGGACGAAGGAGGCTGGTTGTGAATCCTTTCGTTCGGCTGTTCGGACGGGACTGGGGTGAAGCCGTGAAGGAGGCTCGGTTCGTGCGATCATCATGTGGCACCTTGCGAGAAAAAACAACAACCATGACTCATGACATGAGAGAGAGTTCTCGAATTTCCAGTAGACCCAAGATGGATACAGCATTTGGACGTCCGACTCAGAAGACCTTCACTCACCCAGCCACCACACGCACCCGCGCCAGCGCCGCACAAGACCGCACCCGCGCCTGTCCGATGAGCGCATCCAACTTTGGGAAGAGCGCCGCAAAGGAGGCTCCGCTGTTCCGCACCATCAGCCGACCTTCCTGTCGACGCTGTCGCTGTTCCCGGCACCCAACGACGGCGATTCTCTCTGCGAGAGGTACCGAGGCTGCAGAGGCGAGTATAGGGGCGACGAACGGTGAGATGGAAGATGGAGATCGGTGGAGGAAAAAGACCCCCAACGTTGGTGTCTTTTTGAATCAATCAGAGGGACGCCTGGAATCCCCCTTCAGCAGCGAACTTCATGCGAGCGCCATGGTGTTCTTCTTTCCAATGAGCTGTCTTTTCCCATCCATCTGCAGATTCCAGCCACCGAACGCTCAGATCTCTCTCTCAGACCCCGCGTCTGAACAAAACTCAGCTGCACCTGGCTCAGCTGCTGCACTTGCGCCATGGTTTCCGGCGGTGCAGGATCATGATCCTGACCACCTCACTGGGCTCTGTTCGGCGGAACGAGGGCTCCGCATGGAACGCTTGATCAGTGGAAACGTCCAACGGAAGCCTTCCCTTGGACTCATGAAGCGCATCGCTTGATCCCGGGGATTACGTCATCCCACCACTATACTTAAGGGGCTAGTAGTGAGTCATGACTGGACTCGGGATTGTAGGTCTGAGAACGTCAGTTACAACGTAACTGTTTCGTGTGGTAGAGAATATTACTTGGTCCAAAACTATAGCCATCTTGCAAAAAGATTGCAAAACAAAATGGCGCCAAACAGATTTTGCCCACCCCCTACCATACCCCCCCCCCCGACCCACTGAGTCTTCCAGCTGGTCATGGCAATCACGGCCACACCCACCGGTGAGGTTCCATTGCTGCCGCGCTTGGCAGGGAACACTAACCTCCACCGAGCCGGCGAGCCCTCTCGCCCGACGGGAACCAGGTCGGTCGGGAAATGGGAACGGCGTGGTCAGTGCCATAGGTGTGCTTTTCATGCAGTGCACGGTGTTTTTTGTTTGGTTTGATGTTTGTTGCGTTGTTTTCGCAATACGAAAATGAGATGTTTGCCATGTGATCGACCATTTGTACCAGCCAAACATGGATCATGGATCTTGTTACTGGATGGGGTGGAGTCTCCGCTCGATCCGGGATCTTCGGCCGCTTTCAGCCGTGGAGCTGCTCCGAGGTGCACGCTTCGATGGCCATCTCCAGGATCGTCCTCCGAACCCCGTGCGAGGGTGGGTGATCGATGCAACGCATGCGGCGGATTCGGTGGACTTCTGATGATTTCCTATACAGTATACCTTGGGAGTCAAAGACTATAAAAAGAAAGGTCTGACTAGGGGAACTGATTTCGGGAACTTCCTTTACTTCAGCCGGTCAAAATATAGTCTTTGGACTTCTAGGGTATATATATATACACTTATATATAGTATATATGTAGATCAGATGGTATTTGAGGGGACATTGAACATGGTCTTCGGAGACTCCGAATTGAATCTTGATTCTTTCCATGTTGTACATGGAATTACATGGATCGCGGTCTTTGTATTCAATATGCCCCCCTTCAAGTTTCTGCACGGCTGGGGAACGGAAGCTGCTTTGCTGAAGATCCCCTGAACATCACTAGGCGAGCAAACACCACATGACTTGGTAAACCAGACTTCTCTCCAGTGCCGAGATGGACAGACCTGAACACTTCAGCCCGTTCTTGCTTCTCTTTTTTGCAGCAAAAAAAAACAGACCCCGCCCACTTTCAACACCCCAAAACCTGATGTTCACACACTGGAGGTCCTTTCCCCCACCGGCATGGAGGAGAAAGTGATCAAGACAACCCGACGCCCAGCACGGGCAGCTTGCGCCAGAAATTTCGATATGGGCTCGTCCAGAGTGTCTTGCTCTGTTCCTAACAGTGGAAACAACGGTCTCACATTCGTCGACGCGAGGTTACAGCGAGGTTGGCATATTGATGCAAAATGATGCAAAGAAAGGCTTCTGGTTGATGCGTTGACGAACGTGTGAAGTGATCCGATCATCTCTGGACTTGTCGCCATATTATAGCCCTATAATTATAGGAATGTGAGGGATCATGTGCTGATTTGAAGTTGTCGCTCGAAATGCTGAAGTTGAAGTCACTCAACAAAAACATAGCCCAGCACTTCACTCCACAACAGCTGTGATCTCAACTTGTGCATTCAAGACACACAGTCTTGATCTGTCTAGACTTTGCGCATGCCGAGCATCGTAGGAAAATAAAATCGGTGAAGATGTACTGCGGAAGCCGCGCTTTGTACTCTCCCAAGGCAATCTGACTGATGGGCACAATCATTGGCACCTCCCGACGCACCGAAAACACCGAAACGAGGTCCAAACGGTCGGTCTGTCGGGAAAAGGCGGAGACGTGGAATGCAGAGAGAGGAGAAGGGCATGTTGTTCTTCCTGGGAGAAAGATGCATTGGAGCTTCCTCCCAGGTGTGCTTCCCAGAGAGAGGAGGTGTAGCTTCCTGGGGTCCGATGCCACCGATCCAACCGGAAGCTACACCGATCCAACCCGAAGAGGCTCGAAGAGAACGGCGGCGCAGCGCTTCCGTTGATTCTCATCGCCCCTTCTGCGCGAGACGCCCCTTCTGTGGGGCCTAAAGCTTGACCCGACAGGTCGGGAACTCACCGAAAATGACCTCCCAGAGTTGGTCATACCAAAAACACGAACTATTCGCAGGTTTCGTCCGGGGGTGTATGGAGGTTCATACGGTGCAGGTCATACAAAAACACGAAAAGCGATCTGCAAGTGTTTTTTGGGTCCGGACCTCGTCACAACTCGGTCTCCCGCGGCCGGAGCGGTCGCTGCACTCGCCTCTTTCCTGTGAAGCTCATCGAAATGAGCCATGCTATCAGACAGGCCAGCGGGCATGGACCTGGGAACACGAGGGCGGTGTGTGTGGATGGAAGGCGTGGATTGTGCTCTCTGGGCCATCTTTTCAATGACATTTGGATGAGAACTCATTGAGAAGTTTTTCTGCTCATGGATAGAATCACATGTGGCTCTTCAGTTGTCTTTTAAGAACAGGTGGAGAAGGTTTCTTCACTGGTTTCTTCATGTTTCTTCCCAAGCAACGCCCAAGACAAAAGAGACCCCTCAACACGACACGATTCATTCACGCCTTCCTTCCGTTTTCGCTTTGCCATCCAAGCAACTGAAGCCCTCGGGTCTTCCGAAGACGATTCAGACCTTGGAACGAAGACGCTTCGATTCTTCCAGAGCCGATTCTTCCCTTTCAGTTCCCCTCGTCAGACCATTCGTTTTATAGTCCTTGACTCCCAGGGTAGAGACCATCCGCCTGAAATGTGGAGATCATGTTGCGTGCAAACTCTCCGAGAAAGGAACACCAACTGTGAGAACAACCGTCAGCTGCTTTTGCAAACGCTGATTGACGTCTAACGCACCCCTCTGACCCCTCCAGTGATTTCTTTAAATAATCATCCCGTCTGATGCCCAGTCACCAACGCCCCGCATGGACATCTGCCTTAGTTTGGCTTGATCGCGGCACGATCGTCTGCCTCTCCACAGCGCCAGAGGGAGGCAAATCTTCCAAACAATGCGCTAACCTGTTTGAATTTTCAAGATCCTCATGCTGATCCCATCGATATCACAGTCACAAGAGTCACAACCCCCCCCCACCCATACCTCCATACCTCTGGTTAGACGAGTCTTCTTCCCGCCCAGAATCTGAAAACGGATGAACATAGGTCACTCATGGTGCCTCTCTCACCCGCCCTATGCGCCACGACATGCTGTTCTGCTCCGTTTTTCTGCTCCCAAGTCGCTGTACAATGCTCATGAGCGTGGCGTTGAAGCCCTCCGAGTTCATCGCCTCGACATCGCGTGTCGAGGCGAGAACGCCAAAAATCTGAGCCCATCGATGTTGGTAACATTCTCATTCTTCACATGTCTTTTCACATTCACAGACGTTTCTGGCAACACCTGTGCCGGACGTCAACCCGGTGAGGCAACCGGTCGTATTGTTCTACGTCCATCCTCCAGACGTCTGAAACCTCCCAAATCCGATCCCCAAAGTGAAAAAGCTTCAGTCAACCACATCAAGGATTCTCTGCATGTGTTTTGCTTTTGGGTGTCTTTCTGGATCTCTTGCATGGTTCTTCTTGGATCTTCCATGAGTGAAAAACACTTGGATTTCCCAAGCATCCGACCCCAAAAACGCCAAAACGCCCCTCCCAACGCCATTTCGGGCCCACCCGGTCCACCCCCCACAGAGCCCGCCTGTCGCGTGGGACCTAAAAGTCGATCCAAGTGCGTGGAGATATCCCGACGCTCCTCGCGTCGGGGAACCCAACCGGTGAGGTCCAGGACCGGACCAAGCTATATAGGACCAGGTGGTGGACCGGATGTTCCACAAATAACTGATGAATTTTAAGGCTTAGAAACCGAAAAACATCTGACCCATGATGTTGGAAGATCCAGGTATGCCGAGCTCCGATCGTCTTTCGTCCTCCGGACATGTTTGTTTTTCCATCTGGAAACCCAGACAAATAAGACATGGTTGTTCCGGCCATTCTGATCCTTTACGGAAGTGGCCGGGGAAACGTCCAGAACGGTTTCTGGTTGGTACCGGGGGGGGTTGCAAACGAATCCTCCAACTTTGAGAGCGAATAACTCCGTTCGAGACATGCAGCTCTTCCGGCGGTTCCACACTGGTCGAGAGCCACCCATCGGTCTGGACCTTTCGAACCTCTTTTCTGGTCTGGACGTCCGTTGCGTCCGTGGCGTCCGTGGCGCCGGTTGCGTCCGTGGCGCCGGTTGCACCGGCAAAAATGGAACATCAAAGCCAAACATCGCAATGCTGTGAGTCACTTGTTCTTTGTTGCCTGTGAGTCACGGTGGTGCCATCGCTATAAGGAGGCTATCGGCGCGACCGACGTTCGACCGTCCTCGATCTTGTGGTCCGGTTGACAGATGAAGCCCACAATGGGGATCTGCAAGCCCTCCCCTAAGATCATTGCCTGGCCAGTTTCGGAACAAAGAGATGGACGTATTGCTATTAAAAAACAAACTGGGAGTCAAGGACTATAAAAAGAAAGGTCTGACTAGGGGAACTGATTTCGGGAACTTCCTTTACTTCAGCCGGTCAAAATATAGTCTTTGGACTTCTAGGGTATGGTCTTTTTTAGATGGAATATATGTCTATTCGCCGCCCAGATGCTACATGGCACATCGTAAAGCCAAAGACGATGAAGTCAGGCTGCTCTTCGTGAGCCCAAAAGTAGCAACATCCCTGAGAGCTGGTCATTGCAGATCACAAAACCATGATTTCTCGGTCATGACAAGTGGATCTATTACAAGAAATCACACTCTGAAATACAAAATTTCAGGCTCGTTCAATTGCAGTTTTCATAACAAAAAAGTTCACAGCTCTCTTTGGTACTATCGATAGCCTCGGACGGGAAGAAGTTCCTCTCTTGCACAGAGAAGATGAGGCTCTGCAAAAAATCCTTGGCGAGAAAAGCACGCCTAGAGTTCGAGTCTCGCGATGCTCTTCAATCCCCACCACCTTTCTCCAACCCCATCCATCCTTCACGACGCGCCAGAAAGAAAGAAGCTCTACCCCTTCCACCTACCTAGAACCTGAATGACCTCTATTTTGGACCACAAACCACCCAAAAGATGGTCCAACTTCCTATCAAAACACAGGTCCAAATGGGTTCCATAGCTATACACCACCTCTCACCAACCTCCACCAACCCCCCCCCAAGCTCTCTCAAGCGGCGTAGTGCTGGCCCTCCCAGGTGATGAGCTGCGACAAAGCCGTGCGCGTCTGCGCCATGGTGTCACCACCACAAGGCCGAAAGCGCAGCGTGCCCTGCAGCGACCGGGAAGGGCGCGCAGGGCGCGCCACCCTCGACGGGTTCCGGGTTCATGCACCCTGGCCAGGCTCGTCGAGGGGGAAGGACCGACCTGGTCGAACGGTGGACCTGTAGAGTCGGGTCGGAATGGCCAGGCTCGTTGATCCGAAAAGCGAGAAAGTGGGGTATGCTCTCCAGGGTGAAGACTTGGAGGCCGAGTGAGCACTAAATTGCCACGTTGCCCGAACTCGGGCTTCGTCCAAGCAACCCCAGTCCTACCCCCGTTCGCAACGAATTTCAACGTTGGCCGAGGGAGCATTCTCCGAACGGAGATAGTTGGAGCCCTGTAGCGTTCCACCAGGAAAACCATCGAAGGGTCGCCTTCTCCCTTTTGGGGTCGCAAAAACACTTGCAAACGAGGCACGTCTGGCAGTCCAGCGCGAAAGCTCTTGATGAAGCCTTTCCAATTCAGCCTCGGCGAAACATCATCGTCACCAGTGGACGTTGGCGTGGCGCTCAGTCGACTATAAGCTTTTTCACCAAAATGACGTCTAAAAGACCCGGGTTCCTTCTCTAGCGTCCGACCGTTCCGTTCAGTTCGCGATGCCAGGGTTGCCCCGTTGGGTTCGCGTCCTTGCTGCCAATGGTCGGGCCAAAAGCACCGACTCCAACAACTCCCGCCCACGTAATCACGAGCTCCGTGTCCAGCCGAAGAGCTCTGTGCAAATCACCACCTCACCTCGGGAGACGAGGTCAAAGAGGAAAGGCAAATCTGCGCATGGCCAAAAATGCGTATACAGTATACATGATTTTTTGCGATATCATGATGATTCATCATGCACGCAACATATCGTATACCGCATACGGTATATATGTTTTCATATGTTTTCTAAAAGAACACACAGTGACGTATTCCAAAAGGGTCTTTCTCCGTCGATGCCGTCGGCCGGGGCAACATCGGAGTCCGATCGTTCACGAATCGTGGGCCTTCATACAAAGCCTCCCGGTTTTCAAGGGATCCAAGATCAGCATCACTTGGAAGAACCCGGATGCTTCGTTTCTCAGACCATCCACGGAACAAATATTCAGGTCTTGAGTGGATTGTTAGGGTTGATTCACCTATCATACCCTATCATCGACGAATGACAGTGACAGGAAGGGTATGGAAAGGTGAAAGGGGCCTAACCAGGAGCCTTTCAGTGTTCTGTCCTTCATAGGGTGCTTTGGGCAGTGAAGAAGCTGTAAGATCTATGCAAACATCCCTCCTCGACTCAATTAACCTCAGTGCCACGCTTCCAGCAGCAAGACCTTCCGACAGGAACCCCAAGCCCCCCAAGCTTCCAGGTCCCATTTTGGCCCCAGCAGACCGAGATGCAATTGTGTTGTAAGATCAAACCTCTCGCCAGGGCCACAAAGGGCTGTACATCTCCACGAGTGCCCCTGGCCCACCGAGCGCCCAATGCTGCGCGCGTTTCGTGCGAGGCCGGCCCTTTCCGCAGGATGGGTGGCAGCCATTCCCCCCAAAAAAAACTCCGATACAAACCAACCCGTTATAGATTCCAACAACCCACTCGCCTTCATTCGAAGAACATCTCACTCTCAATCACCTGTCGACCGGCACCGCGAGCTGCGACCGCGATGCGCCACCCGCGCCTGGTCACCATGAAGACCCGGGTCCTGGTGCCGCGGCGCCGGCGCAAGCCCAGGCCAGGGACATAGGCTCCTGCGAAGAGAAGCGAAAAGAAGCGAAAGGGTATGTATTGCCATATGGGTCATCTCGGTGAGTAGAAAGAAGAGCTTTTTGGTTGAGAATCTCCGGACTTGTGAAAACTTGTGAATAGAAGAGCGTCATTACCAAAAAGAAGAGTCTTTAGGAAACATCTTGAAGATTCTAGAATTTTTACAATTCATATTGAATCCATCCTATTCAGTTCGACATCTGCCGCTGTCATGATGTCTGAGGTGGTCATCCGGCATCTTGCGGCATTTCTCGCGGCTCGGCTCGGCGGTCTCGGTCCTGCGCGCGAGGACAAGGAGTTCACCGAGCCCATCGACGCGAAGGAGCGCACGGAGCGCATCTGGTAGATGTCCTGGCGCCGGCAGCCGCCGATGAGGTGCACCTCCAAGAGCAAAAAGCAGGGCCGCCGCACGATGATGCCTGAAGGAGCCGTCGAGCCGGAAAAACAAGAGATTCGGAGGTCGGAGGTCGGGGGCCAGGTCAAATCCCCACTTGAAATGTTCGGAAGGGCCGCCTCAAACGCTTTACAAAGGGAAGCTATAATGGAAGCAAAGCAGAAGAAAAACCACGTGATATGAAATTTGAGGGGGGGTTCTTGCTGAGATTGGATCAAATCGAAAACTAAGGAATGGTTGGGATGAAGTACTGACATGTAACATACACGAAAAATGAGCCTCTCTGTCAGGTGCTTGTCTTGCTCACGTTTGGTATGAAGATGTATCAGTGAGTGTGTATAGTTCACTGCTGGTTCTGGTCTTAGAACGATCCGCGCTTCGCGTTCATGTGCGAACCATGGTCCGGCTCTATATATAGCTCCCCGGCCGGCGGCCGGTGTTCCCCAAAGGTCTTCCATCGGACCTCCTTCGTCTAACTTGGTCCAAAAAACACCAAAAAACCCTTCGCGAGCCACCTTTTCCCTCACGCCTTCCCCCTGGTGAAGAACGCACAAGTGGAATCAAACACTTCACACTCTTCACGTCCTCATGTGCCACATGAAGTCCTCATCATCCCAGTCGTCATGTTCTTGAGCACATCATCCGCTGGTCCTCTCGGTCCAGCGACTTGGCCAAGATGCCCTGTTTGGTGAGGCGTTTGCTGTGGTGCTTGGTGTGCACATCGCCCGCCTCCGAGAAAAAGGGCTCGCTTGGCGCGGGCATTTGTTACAAAACCCTAGTTGTGAGTCGTGAGGGTCAAAACGCTATAGCTATGAGGGTCCTTTCTGAGCCTGTGGCTACGAAGTGAACATGTTGCACAGTTCACTAGGTGGCGATGAAACCACCTCGGTCACACACCGCATGGTCCGATGGTGACGAAACGAGGGGATTCCTCTGTTGGAGCCACCCCCCAATGGCAAAAGATTGCCAAAGGCCGCAGCACAAAGCCAAGGCGCATAGAGCGGATTGTGATCAGATGTACTCTGCATCAGAAGGCACCAGCTTGTTCTACCTGAAGGGGGAAGGCGGGCCGCCACTTCATGTTACGTGTGAGGCAAGACGGCCCGGACAGTGGAGTTTCGTCTTCTCTTTCTGTTCGTCAATTGAACAATGAGTCGCAAAGGGATTCATGGACAACATCTGTGGCGGTTCTCATGTAGGCACCAGGAATCTCACACCATTATAGTGGAAACAGAACTTCTCGCATCATGCTCATCCCTTCCTTTTGAGTGCCCTGAACACAAAACGCAGCAAAACACACCCCAAGCACTCCAAGCATCTTGGGATATCTTGGGTTTAGTGCCGCATCCTATGCTGCATTCTCTTTGCTTTGACGCTTCAACAGCCCAAGCCGGCCCAAACGCGAGATCTGTCCGCGCGACGGGCCAACTCGTCGAGTGCGATCTTCGCATAGGCCACTTCCACGCCGAAGTGGTCACAGAGTTTCCTCGAAGCTTCGCGAAGACGACGGGGACACCGAACGGTGGGCCCGTTGGTCTGGCCGCCGATGAAGCCGGTTCAAGGGCCACACAAGAGCACGAAAAAAAGCGCAATGGCCAGAAAACACATACGGGGACACCTTTAATGATGACCAAAACTGTATCCGTGTATAAAACGAATTAGTTGTGGAATGTTGTGGATAAGAAAAGAATTCGATCGGTAAGGACAATCAAACACCAAGTGGAAAGGTACGGTATACCATATTATTGTCGTTGATCATGTAAAATTTGTTGAGGATTGCATGACATGTCCTTCTCATTCCGTTGGGAAACCAACCTAGATCCGCAGCTGTTCGCGGCCTAACCGAACGACCGCGGCGGTACAGACTCTGGTCTCCACTGGAAAGACTTCCAAGGTCACACCCGACTTCAGGTGGAGGAACTCACAGGATGGAGGACTGGTGGTGAAAACTCACAGCCTCCTCGCAGCTGTCCACTCCGTCTTTGATTCCAGTCGCAATGCGGACTCGGGTCGAAACCAAAGATCATTTGCGGACGGTTGTGATTCCCACACAGCCCTTCCAGAAGTACATCTGGTCCACAGTCAGTGATAGTACATAGGTCATGACCTATAGTCGGTGTATCAGTGAAAAGAGATTATATAGGCGGTTATAGTTATATTATACAGTACCCCTGTTGAAATGATTGAACCCCCCAAAGGATGTTCCTTCAGTCGATCTGTCACTGGGCGCATCGATCCTTGGGATTCGCCCCCCCCAACATACGCGCGCGAAGGGCTTCGATCTTGGGCTTCCAAGATTCAGATCTAAGAACCAGGACCTGCGCGTGAAGATGGCATACCGACATTAGTCGTTGCAAGGAGAAGCTGTTTGGGAAGCTCTTCAAGAGGGCATATCTAGATGCATTCAGAAACTTGCTTCCCTTTAGATCTTGGTGCTGACTTTCGTTGCTTGGACCTCATGAGAGATCAGCTAAGACACCAGCATGGGCCAACATACTCATTGCACACACATAGATCTATCTACTTTCGACCTGCGATCCACCTACTTCGTTTCCACCGGCACCAACTCCACAACCAGTACTACCACCGGCACCCTGCATTCACAACACCAAACCAACGAAGCACCGCGCACCTGTGCGATTCCAAATCCGTCTGGAAGAACCGTGGTGGATCGAATTCCACGGAATCCTCCTGTGCGAGGCCCAAAGGCGAGTAAATCCGGCGCTCCGCCCGCGGCATCGCCCATCGCAGCGCGGAGGACGCAGCGCCGCCGCGGGTGCCGTCCGGTTTTCGTTCCGCCACCGGGGAAAGGACCTCGAATGAATCTGGCACCGTCCCGGTCCTCCACACGGTCGGCACACACCCGTTCACACCGGTCGGGACGACGGTCCTCCACCTGTCCGTTCTGAAACTCGAAGGACGCAGGGATCGGCAGTGAAGCATCGCTCTCCGGATTGTTCGGAGGCAACTCCATCACCTCGGCGCCGCGCGGAGACTTCGACTCCCAACCCCCGCGACGTCCGACGATTAACGACGTCTCGGTTGGAAAGGCCCCAGTGTCCTGAGGTGTGGAAAAGCAGCACCCCTTGTGTGGGTCGAGTCATGGTGTGGTGTTCAATTGGGAAAGTCTAGGTGGTGCGGAAGTTCGTTGATCGTTGCTATAGGCATTAAAGACAGGATGCACCTCAGATCGAAAAAAGGGTTTGTGGGGTCTAACTACCAACTATATGTACTATAGGGAGCCTTCGGTAAAGGGAACAATTGAGCAAGTCACCTGCGCATCCAACATTTTATGAGCCACACACACAGACATACGCAGACACAGGACACGCAAACACACACGACACATTCCTGCTTATGAGGAGGAATCACATGTACAGCTTGCGCTTGCCGTGATCATGAGTCCCATGATGAGTGATGAGATGTTTATAATAGTTTATAAGTTTATAAGGGTAACATCTGAGTGGCAGAGTTCAAACATGCTCAAAATGCTCGCCAGCTTTGGCGCAGAATTCTCCGGAGTAGGAAGCAGGAGAAGCGCTCCACGTGACGCATCGGATGTGTTCACCGGGTTGTCAGAGTCCCCGTCCGACGGAAGAAACCCTTCAAGTTTGCACAGTGCACAGACATTACATTGGGGGCTCTTCGATTCTGACCTAAAGGTTTCTCTTCTCCCAATATATACAAATTCATACAAATTCTACCTATAAATCAAGTCCTTGGCCACTCTAAACCATTCCAAACGCTCCCCCCCGCCGCTCCGCTGCCTCACTCCGGCGTTCGCCCGGAGGACCGCGAGGACCGCACCTTCACTTGCATCGACTTCTTCGCCGAGGACCGCAGCGACCGCGCCGGGAAGTTCAGCACGCCCTGGCCGAAGTGCTGATCGAAGAGGCTTTCGGCGAATCCAGAGGATCAGCTGAGATGTTTTTCACATTGACGTATGGGGTTTGTGTTTTTGAGTGTTCCTATCCGCCCGCCTTCCGCCGAAGTTGTTAACATGTCGGCGACTATCCGGTCCTATAATTTATGTTGTTTTTTTTTCCTTCTTCCTCTGCTGCTCTGTTCGAAAGTCGGAGACGCCGCCACTTTTTGAACGATTCAACCCAACCATTCCATTCCAGCTCACCAAAATGCCCAAATGCCCAATTTCGACCCAACGCACGTCGCGAACCCGCGCCGAATCCCCGCGCCTGCACGGTGATCCGGATCATCGTGAAGCGCTCTGGACTCATGCGCTCCATCGGGAGGGTCGCCATGGCAGTCGTCCCGTCGTGCGGCTGTGGCCGATCAAACGCGCGAAGTCGTTGGACGGTTGGAGTTTAAGACGAACTCGTTCGTCGGGTCGTCGTCTTCAAGACATCCAAGACTCAGATTGAGTCCTTGAATTGGCAGTGCTTTTGCTTTTTAGTTAGTTATATGCTTAATTAAGCAAAAGACTACTAAATCGGTTGGCTCGGGGTCGGTTGGCTTTTTCCAAAAACCGATGCTCGGAATGGAAGGTTGTAGGCTTGGGGTGTGGGCTGGTCGACCGGCTGTAGCAAGATGCATCGGTCGAAGCACAGTTCTTGCGTTCTGATCTGCTTGCTCCTCAAAGTGTCAAAAGAAAAACAACACTGGCTGCAACTGAATCGACTTGCGAAGAGCCTACCAGTCATTGAAAAACCTTTTGAAGCCAATCCGGGCGGCTGACATGGTCTGAACACGGTCTGAACCAAAAGAAATCCACATGTCTTTGGACCAACTCATTGGCCAAAAAGGTCCTTTTCGGATCCCCACCCACTGGAGAGACGTCGCCGTTCTCCCTTGCGAGACGTCCCTTGGATCCGAGGCCAGGAAAAATCCATTCCGAAACCTATCTTCCTGGTCTTAATGGAGAGCTCATGCACTTGATATGGCACCCATCATCTCAGCCAAACACCCAAATGGACACTCAAGGGACCGCCATGAGCCCAACTACTGCGTTTGTTGACCATTGACCACCCGCCATACATAGTTGGTCACCGAACTCAGCACCTGAACTCAATGCATCACAGCTTCACACACAGCATCACACAGCTTAGCCCACCCTAATGCCCGCACTGCCGCTCTACTAGTAACAAGTGCCTCGCTAGTAGTAACAGGTGCCTTACTAGGAACAAGTGCCTTACTACTAGTAACAACCAGGAGTCCCCAAGTGAGTGGATGTTCTGGGCACCCCTAACCTCCATGGATTGCATCCCTTTGTGACTGTAGATCGGTCGACCCGAACGGCGCGGCGCTCTGCGCGGACCGCGCTCTTTTGGGCTCGGTCCGCTGGGGACGAAAATGGGGTCTGCGAGCAGAGAGCGAGGCCCGGAGGCTCCGCGCGCAGAGAGTGTAGGTGAACCTCGCGGAGAGTGTGGCAGTTTTGGACCGACTACTTTTGGGGGGAATTCTGAACCTTGAACAAAGGCGGACTACTTTTTGTGTTTTGTTGGGGGAGGTGGGAACCAAACACACAGGGGAGGCCATTGCTAGTAGGTTGGAGGCCATCGAAATTAGGTTGGAGGCTATTGCTTGTGAGCTGCTGAAAGCATGGACACTTTCTGGGTGGCACAAATCCGCCTCGCTTGCGACAGTTTGCACCGTGGTTTACACTCCAGAGGCGGAGGATACAGGGAAGTTCAAAAAATGAGCCCTATAAAGAAAAATCATTTAAGACATTGGCCCTATCCACCCAGAATTTGTTTGGTTCAACTGACACACGGCCGCACCAGGGACACGGACACCAACGAACACCTGGTCTCTGGGGCCCACACGAATATGGCCGCTTCAGACGAAGCCTTTTTTTGGTCGCCATTTCAGCCTGACTTGGAGTGAGTGGAAAAGAGGAGTCATGCTGAGTCATGCTGAGTCTCTCGCAGCGCCGCATTGGTCTGTTTCTTCGGAATGAAAGGGTTTATAGACGGTGTCCTCATCTATCCTCTGTGAGTGATTGAGACGTTTTCACATAAGAGCAAGTTGAAATTAATAGTGATATAAATCGAGTTAAGATTCGAAATGTTTCAAAACTGGTGTCTTTGTGGCTTTGGACATGTTCAGTTGCAAAGTGTGCTCCTGCAAAAGCAGTCAGTATGAAGATCGCCACTCTGCCAAGTCTGTAAAATCCTCTTCAGGTGTGAAAAAGAATCTGAAAACGTGTCTGGTATGCCAGTAAGGCACCAGTTACACAGACTGTACTCTAAGACACTGTCCGACTGACTGCATGCTTTGTTGTAATGAGTCCGTAGCTCACTTAGGTTGCTTCCTTCCTGGCCCCGCTGGGTGCTGGGCTGGTGTTCTAGAAGAACTTGAGCAGCTCCTACGGCAGAACTTGCACAGCTATTCGGCTAGCTTGTGCCGCTATATACTATATACCACAGAAAATTACATGAGTTGCACCGGCGTAGCGTCACGGCACACCTACTCGTAACCGGCAGCGAACTCCGTTCGTCACCGGCACCCAACTCCGAACGTCCTTCGTAACCGGCATCGGCCCGGCACCGGTCGACCCGACCCCGCACGGCACCGCTCGACCCGGTACCGGTCGGTCTTCGGTCGTCTTCGGTCGTCTTCGTCCTTGGAGGCAGTGAGGTACTTCTTCAAGGACTCTTTGATACGATCATTTCGCTTCTCTCCGCGAGGTCTTTCCTCTCCCTTCCTGGCAGACCCGGATGGCGGCAGGTCCGGCTTCCACTAAGAGTGCAAGAGAAGGAAATCATTTCGCTGAAGTGGACCTTTAGTCATGACTTTAGCTGCAAAACTTACAATGCGATGTTGAACAACAAGGCTGGAATGAGCTGTGAGCAATGCTGAGATCTGCTATTGAGTATAGTGGCCACATCAACCCACATCGATTTGAAGGTTGTTCCAATTGACAACTCGCGGTACCCGATGAACAATTGCACTCCCCAACCGAGAAGCTCAACCTGTGCTTTTGTGAATCAAGCAATCATCTACTACCAGTCCTAGCTGAGTCCTATAGTCCTATCCTCAAAGGAAGAACCCTCCCAGCAATAAGGAGGGTTAAAACGAAGAACCCCAACCGAAACCCGGAGAAACCGATCTCTCCAAACGCCCACACCGACGTCTGGAACCGCCGCGGAGAGCGCAGCGCAGCGCAACAACGACCCGCTCGGGGCGGCTTGGTGGTTGGGAAAGGAACGTCGATCTCCCACTGGTACTTCGCCTGCGAAACCCAACGGCCACGGCGAAGCGCCGTTTCGCGAAAGCTAAGACAAGCCGTGAGACAAGCTGGGCCAGCCGCGAAACCCTGCGGCGTTCGCCCTCGCATCCGATTCTCTTAGGGGCGGAGGGTGAAAGTTCTTCGGTCAGGATCCTCGAGTCCAGTGGCTCGGGACACCCGGTGACGAAGACGACGAAACAGCTCAGCGGCGGAACAGCGGCTTTCTCAGCGGCGGAAACGGCTCCGACTCGTCTCATGGCAGCGCCTGAATCATGAGACGCTGCCAGCGCTGCGTGGCTGCTGCAGTCTTGTCGTCCATGATGTCGTTGATGGCGTTGGTGGCCTCGGAGCTCCAGGTGTCAACAGGGAGCAGTGGGATTCGAGAAAGCCCTAGTTCACCTTGGACGGATGATTTTGGTCTCGCTATTAGGGTGGAGGCCATTGGTATTGGGTGTGACTTAGACTTACTCTTCAAGGTCCTGATGGAAGTGGAGGTCCTCACCTCAAACGCCATCTTTCGACCATGTGTCCTCCACTTCTGTTCAATGGGCCCTGTTGACAAGAATGAGAAGAGTCGAGATTCCTGAGGTGTTTTCGTGCGCGGGGTCAACTCATGTCAATTCACCCTCAGCTGTTGAGTATAGGGGCTTCCTCACCTTTAAGGCTTTAAGGACATGAATTGCTTGTTTGTCCGAACCACACACCATTCCAAAAACATGGGACTGAACATCTTTAATTATGTTACATTGACCACTCAAAAGATCTAAAACACCACCTGAATGGTGGAATATTCCACATGGATGTGAATTTTAAATCTGAGATTCCATGGCTGGGTAGACTGGTTCATTTTCCTTCCTTTGAGGGGGTCCTTGTCGAGGTCTCCCTGTTTTACTATACACACCCACATGGAAACCTCAGGTGCCGATTCGTGTAAGGCACAGGACGGACCTTTTTTCCAAGGAGCCTTCACCAGTCATTTTCAATTCGATTGATCAATACATGTCAATACCCTCTATATGCTAAGCTATCTGCAACTGTTGAGTCCATTTCACTCCTTTTCCATCCCTCCTTTTCCAGTCCTTTAGTCCTTTCCCTTTTGGGGGACCCTCGCCAGGCGCAGCTCTCCGATGCCGAAGTCCTGGATCATGTAGGCGAGGTCCGCCTCGGCTCCGCGTCCCCGGAGGAGGTCCCGGGAGGTCCGCGGTGTCCGGTGGTTTCCGGGGAAGGAAGAAGGAGATGCCAGGAGAGCTTGTGTGTTTACGGAGTAGTCAGATAGGCAGTAGATTCTTCATCTAAGTGGCGCCTGGATCGCTTGGCGAAGAATGCGGCTCGCTTTGCTTAGCTTTGACAGATGTTGACGGGGCAGGAACCCGCCCGTTGACCACGCCAACAATGCTCAGCAGCTAGGATCGGGAGAGAACAGGAACGGAGGAATGGATGGGAAAACAACCGTTGACCTATGTTGACCTGGTCTTGGATTTGCAACAAAGGCACAAACAAATACCACATCAGGGTGTCGTGGCTGGAACACCCAGCCCGCTACTATCCGGGATCTCCAGCCAGGACATCCATTGGCCATCTAAAAGGTCCGGGTATTCAGCTATAAAATGTATATGGCTGTTCACCACAGGGAATAACCGTCTAAACAAAACCATGCATGCAAGTACTAGCAATGGCCTCCAACCTACTAGCGATGGCCTCCAACGTAATATTCCTTTCAAGTACTATCGATCAAGTCTATTTTGACCTCCAGTCATCGGCCTGTGGGTCCTTCTCAAGCTTGGCCAAAGCCTCCTCCGCCTGCGCTTGCAATGCTTCCACCTGCCCACCGATCTCCCGACGCTTGGCCAACGCGGGATCTCGCTCATCGGCAGGAATCACTCGGGAACACCAAGGGCTATGACACGTTTCCGATCGGATGTGGCACTGAACTTGAACCTGCCGAATTATACGATATATGCCATGCTTCAAATGCCATGCTCTATGACATCGATGCCCCACCTTCTTCCTTGCTTCCAGGATCTTGGGGTCTTTGGCATCTCCTGCGGACGGATGCAACATCGGTCCGGAATGGTCCGGACGAGCGTCTGCACGGCGTCTGCCTTGGATCCGCGTTTGGCAAGGTCCAATTCCAAGAGACCTTGATCTTCCAAGTTCCATCACGTATTAAAACTACCGCATATATGATAGATATACTGTTTCTATCCATCACATCACGATCATCACAGCAACTTACTTTACATCCCACTTCCATTTTGATATAAATCTCTTCTATCTCCAAGCCTTTCCCCCCCTCATTGTCGTTTCCTCCCTTCACTTTCCCCCCCCTCTCTCGATTTCACCTCGTTCAGTGAAGTGACCCCGTCTCCCCGTCACCCCCGTAACCCCGCTCCGATGACCACGGCGTCGTTGGGGTTCATCTCAAAGGGCCCCGGGATGCTCGGGATGCCGAAGAAGTCCGCCGCCTTCGCGGACTCCGACAGACCTGAATGCGGCGGATGGACGGCCGGTCAAGGCGGGGAAGGCCCACGCGGTGGCGAGAGTGGCCGGTCAATGCGGATTCCACCGGTGCGTGCTGGTGGCGAAGAATGAAGTGATGGTGAGACAGGGAACACGAGAAGGAGAACAAGATAGAACAAGTGAATATGTTTATAATGGTTTGACGACTTCAAGCTCAAGGGTTTTGGAGGTTGTAGCCACATTTAGCCAGTTTTGAAGAAGATCTCGCTTTTCTCATTGAAACAAATTAATTGAGCAACATGGTACGTGGACTTTCAAAGTCAGGGTCTTATATCCTGAAAGAGGTGGATGTCCCACAGGATTTCCTCTCAGACTCTGGAAACACGTCTCCGCAATGATCTGCAGAAACTGGTCTCCAACTTGCTTCTTTAACACACGAATCGGTGATGCTGATGACTCGAACATCGCCCGGACTGAACTGAGTAATGCTGAACTCCGTCGGTGCAGAAATCGTCGAAGCGGCTGGGCGGCTGGACCTCATGTTTTGGGGTGATGACAGGCTGAGCCCGCAACTCTGGGGTGATGCCGCAACTCTGGGCTGGGACATCTGCAGTTTTTACAGGTCTTCCATCACTGGACTGCAGACAAGCCAAGAGTCTTGAGTCTTGAGATGTCTTCGGAGAGTCATTCCAGAACTTCTGTGACCCCAAACGGGTCGTTTTGGGGGTGACTGGATTCCTGCCTTGGTGACAGAGAAACATACACGCTGCAAACTGCCAACATATCCAAATCGACCATCGATTTATGAGATCTACAAAGAACACCCATGACAGATACTATACCTGGACCCTCCAAAGTACCCTAGCAACTGGGGCAATGATGGGCAATGACATGCAATGACCATGCAATGACCCTATAAAATCAAATAAACTCCAGGTCCATTCTTTAAGCCTTAGCAAAATGGGGATGATGAGGATGATGGGCCATGACCCTATAAAATCAGGTACTTTAAGACTGGTCTTTGGGATGCTCCAACTCATCCGTCCCAATCGACCGCTGCCCGAGACCGCGCCCACTGAGCTGCCCGGACTCAGTGCACCTAGGAGACCGCCCGAGAGCACCGCTCGGCGGCCGGGCACGAAGGCCTCGGCGGGACGGACTGGTGGGCAGCGTGGGACGAGGCTGGGCAGCGTGGGAGATCGGAGTAAGAAATGGCATGTTCATGCATTTGTTCTATAGAAAAGACATGACTTCATACTTCATACCCCTTCTGAAAGGTCAAGAATTGGCAGGATATATGATACATCCTCCATCCCAGGAGCTGTTCACTATAGTTTCATGCGTGGAGAAGAACGCGAATGGACTTGTTGACCACAGAGAGACGGGCAGGTGTTTCTCCCTTCGAAAGACATTGCATGGTACCTGATCAACTCGAATCAAACAGCGAGGTGACGCTGAACCTGCCGGGGGTGCCTTCGGATTTCTGAAAAGAGCATCTTGAGCAAAAAGAATTCCTCCCTATCAACCCTGTGAATGTCTCCATCCTCACCGTGCAAGGCCATGTCAGTCTCGACCTCGCCTGGCTATAGAGGGCACCCATCGCTCCCAGCAAGAGCAGCGCCCGTGTCGATCGCTTCATGCCTGGCCGCAGCGGCATTTGGGTGCAGCATGAGACACAATGAACGGAGCATCCTTGGGTTGGCATATGTCGCGATGTCATACGCATATGGGCATAGGATGCCGGCATATATGTGTTGTAGAGCTACATAGAGCTATAGGTGCAGCTTCTTTTAAGACAACCATGGAAAAGATCGACAGACCGCGAAACAGTCCAAGCTTCGCTCGTTTTGTGACGTCGATCGGTGGAGTGTCATGCAATCTTGGCACCCTCCAAAAAGAAAGTTGGGTAACGGCCCGGCCCTTTCGTAATTGAAAAGGTGTCAAGTGATTTCTACAATGTTTTCCTTTCTCTCAAACTGGGGCGATTGATTGATCCCTTCACCCGTCACTTAGCACTCATTCCATCCAGTGCCTGTCATGGCTGTAGTGGTGATCGAGAGACTGATTTGTAAGCGATCAAGCGGCCTAGACTAATTGAAGCCAAAAAGCAAGCGGACGTTAACGAAGAATCTATGCAGATGAAAACACAAGTTGTTCGATGCAACCACGTCTCAAAGCAAGCAAGCTGGGTAGCCTAGAGATCCCATTGTCCAAAGCAATATATGATGCGTTGTTCTCTTTTTTCAGATCTGGTATCATTTCTCAGAATATCTTCACAGTGTTCTCGTTTCAAAGCCGGAGCAAAACCTCTAAAGCACTTGGCGCCTCTTTTTCCCCCTTCCGCATGGGTTCATGAACGGTGAAACCTCAGAGATGTACATGAGGAGGTCCACACGCACCTCGTGCGGACCTGGGTATGTGAACATCCACCAGGTCATCCCAGCATGTCTGCCAGCAAGTATGGTTGAATTCTCATTAATGAGTCCATGGATTGTCGGAAAACCTATAGGAACCCGGTTTTTGCATCTTTTTGCCACCAAATACGGAGGGGTCCTTTATACGTTCCCATTATCTAATGTTTGGACAAACAAGGTTTCGTGTTCTGAAGCACTATGCAACCGGCTAGGTGCTTTCCATCCTCATGTCGTACCTAATTATATGTATATACACTAGACTATACACCATCAAGCTAGATCTTGGAGCTTCTCATCTCCCTGGACCTTCACGACTCTCCTTCCTGCGCGTCGCTGCGCGACCCCGGCCGCCCTTCCCTCGGCGTCGCCCTGGAGTTTCTGCCCAGCCAAGTGACACTCGACTACCTCCTGACACGAGGTGATGAGGGTCGGGCACAACGCTCCGAATCCGAAGCGTGCCATGATTGTGTAGATTGGGGCAATGCCTACCTTACAATTATCACAAGTATCAACATATACTTTAAGGTTGTATACTTTAAGGCGCACTCTGTACATGTTTGCAACTTTGCACTTCATACCCATGAAATTGTCCGGCCCTCAAGTTGAAGAAGAAGAAGAAGAAGGAGAAGAGCAGGAAGAAGACGAGGGAGAAACGACGTGGGCATGGGCGTAATCTTCCATGACATCTGTCACCAGGCTGCTGGTCTGCCACCACCAAAGAGAAGCGAGAGAAGCCACGGTTCCCAGAACTGAGAAGATCATCTGTCGGATGTGCCACTCCTCACAAGTCAACAGGCAGTCGCTATGCTGCACCACATCGATCCATTGCAAGATCCAAAAGATGATAAACAAGACCGTCACGATGTACTTTGTGACAAACATAGTTCTTAGCAGCAGAAGATTACAACCCACAAATCCAACAACTAATTTCCAACATGACATGCAGTGGAACGCCGTTGGACCACTCGAAAGATTCTGCATCCAGTCTCCAACTGCACATAGCATCAACCCCAGTGCACAGCCCGAGCTCATCACCAGGACAGAGATGAAGTACTTTTGGGCCGGTTCCAAGTCCTTTCTGGCCTTACTGAACTGGTAGTAGTCATTGAGATTTAGCTTTCCCTCAACCTTAGCTTGCAGCAGGGCACGGGCTGTGCTGCCCGAAGGGATGCTGAAGGCTATGGAGGTGCAAACAGTGAACGCCAGTGATGCCGTGCTGAAGGGCGACATGGCTGGGGTTCGCACCAAGGCGCACAGCGCAATGATGCACGAAATCGCTCCTTCAATGAGCCCTTCTCTTTCTTGATGCTCGAGCAATTTTTCAGACACCATCCCTTGCTGTGTGCATTTTTCAAGAGCTTGTGCCATGCCAATTTGGAAGAGATCTGGGTAGTTGGGAAGAATTATTGAGGCCAACATGGCCAAAGCGTAGAAAGGCTGACCAAGGGCCAACAAGTTAAAGCTGCTGTTGACATCTCCCACGACCTCAAAGATATTGAATCCAACAGCGACTTTGGCCAAGAAGATCGCTGCGTCCCGATCATTGTTGTACATCCAATGGGCAAACCGACTCAAGATGTCTGTTGATGACGGTTTTTCAAGCGGCCAATCGGCAGAGGGGAGAGATGGAGGAGCATCGCTGGAGCTCAAAGGTAAATTCTCATACCCAGCAGTAGCATTCTGGTCTGATCGAAGCCTTGCCCTGCATGTGACCCAAATGGCTGGCAGAGCATAGAGCACAGCGGACAAGATTGAGATTGGAATGGCCAAATGAAAGCCCGCGAAGGCAATTGCAAGGGGAGGCGAGAAAGCCCACCATGCTTCTGCTTTTAAGCACCAAAACAGGTAATTGCTACTGGGTAGGTATAGGTCCACTGCACGGCACCAGCTGGCACAGGTGATACCCGCAGTCACATTGTCGACCAGGTCGCTAGTCCTGATCGCTTGGCATGCCTTCGGAATGACCTTATCAGGCATGGTGAGATTTTGAAGATGTGCGATGTCCTCTGGGGTTAGGTTTGATCTTAAGAATCTTGCCTGCATCTTCAGAGGGTGCAGCACAAAGGGTGGCTCCCAGCCATGCTGCAGGGCCTGAATGAGCAAGACTTGAGTGGCAGTGAAGAACACCCATGGGGCGATCAAACCTATCAATAGACCCATCGCCGATATCAACGACCCCATCGCCGTCAATGCCAAAGTCAAAGGACCCTTCGACCTTGCCGACATTGCCTTACGGAGCTTACTACGGAGCTTGCTTGAAAAACTCTGAAGCACCCGCAGTGTGAGTCCAAAAAGCTGGAGAGATAATATTCCCATGATGAGCTGCACCACCACTGCAACGAAATTTGCCAACCAGATTGGGAGCCAAAGAATCTCAAGCCACAGCACCAATGTCACTGGCACTGTCAACCAAAGCCACAATGTTCCCTTGATGGCATTGATGACCCCCCTCCAGTTCGTCTCTGTAACACCAAAGGCAAAATAGAGCCAAGGGAGCCACAGCACAACTGCCATACCCTAATGCGATGGTCTGCTCGATTTCCATCATGAATCGGGCGCAAGGAAACTTTGCCCCTCTTGAGCCAACTGCTGGGACGCACGCCGCTGAAAGCCAAGCCACTTGAGTGAAGAACCGATCGTTGTGGGATCCTCAGTCTGAGGCTTTGACCAAGCGGAGACAGTCAGCTGACTCGCTCCTGAATTTGCCAGTTTTGACTGCAGCTGCTGCATCATAGCTTGCCTTGCAGCTGTGGGAACCCCACGACCCGACGTTCAGGTTTGGCCTGAACCGTACCAAGGATCAAAAGGTTTTAGCATGTTGTGATTGTCCGCAAAAAAAAATGTATGTAGAACATAACATCAACTATCTCTCACTTCCACCCCCTGGAATGTGATATATCCAAATGTTACCAGCAGCGCAAACTACCAGGCCTGACAGGCATGTTTTGATGGGAACCATAAGCAAATCTGACATAAGTACACCATTCTCATATATTGAGTGTTCACAACACATGTGCATCAAGATATGATGATGACTTTAGCTGCAGAGTTTACAATGCAAGTGATGTTGAACAACAATGCTGGGACTGTGATCATACTGAGCTCTGCAGCTAGGTGGTGGAAGCCGACCCAGATCACTTGAAGATACTTGAAGTTTGTTCCTGTGTCAATCCTCTTCAATAAGCAATCCCTGCTCAAGTGAAAACAACCCGTTCAGTTTTGGACACGAGGAATATGAGCCCAACGTCTGCTTGGCAGCCATCAAAGCAGTGCGCTAGTGAGGACCAATCGATCGAGAACAACTTCCCATACTTCCTGAACGTCAAGCGGTACCAGGAGATGCTCAAGACCAAGTACTTGGGAGGTGCAGTCTATGGACAAGAACGACGGCAACCAGTGCAGCGATACATCAAGAAGTGTGAGATGGAAGTATGGCGAGCGGACCCTCCCGACATGGGTCTCCTCTCAATCTGTGGTCAGCAGAACGGATGAAACAACAGTCGGAAACTATGGATCACAAATGATCACACGGTTGAGGATGTCGAGGCGTGGAAGCAAGAAGAGTGAGAAGGCGGCGCCTACTGGTTCCAATGCAAGAGCCCGGGGGAAGGTCACATGTCGCAGGGTTGGTTGGAGAGGCTGCTCTCCTGAAGTCGATGCAGACAGGTGGTCTCAAGGCAGTGCAGCTCAAACCTGAATGAAAGAGCTACACATTCTTTCAGATCGCGTTGATGGACGAACTCCAACATGCAGAACTGGAGGACGGTGGAGCCGGCGCATGGGAAGGTGACGCTCCATCAAGACCCCCAAAAACGGGTGTGCGGTATACGGTATACTCTTTTGGTGGATGGCCCAATAGCTGGGATACCGCCGGACTTGGAGCCGCAGCAGATGTACTGTGGAACATCCTAGAAATGGACGGATCTCCTCCCGGGAAAATGTGCTAGTGCTCATCCAGGACATTGAATGTATATATGGAAAGAGCAAACATGCACACGATTTGGAGCTGGAGGAGGACTTTGGATGAGCTAGTCAAAAGGTGGTGCCGGAATCATCTACCCGGCATATGCATTATAGAGCTACATAGAGCTACAGACGTATCTACAGCTTCTGTTGAAAACCTGGAACAAATCGACAGACCGCAAAACAGTCCGACCTTCGCTCGTTTTTTTAACGTCAATCGGTGGAGTGTCACGCAACTGACATTCTACCCCCCCAAAAAGTTGGGTAACGACCCTTGTTCCTTTCTCTCCAACTAAGGGGATTGATTGACCCCTTCACCCTTCACTTAGCACTCATTCCATCCAGTGCCTGTCATGGCTGTAGTGGTGATCGAGAGACTGATTTGTAAGCGATCAAGCGGCCTAGACTTGAAGCCAAACAGCCAGCGGACATTCGCCAGTTGTTCGATGCAACCACGTCTCGTCTAGCAAGGGACTGCTGGATAGCCCTAGAGATCCTACGATGTTTTGTGCTCTGAAATTCTGCATCCATCTGGTATCAATACTCTCAGAATGTCTTCACACCAAAAAGCAACCTCTAGACCTCTAGAGGTTGCACCTCTAGAGCACTTGGCGCCTCTTTATCCCTCCGCATGGGTTCATGAACGGTGAAACCTCAGAGATGCACACTAAGGAAACGCACGAGGTGCATGTGGGTGTGCAGGCAGCGAAACCAAGATGAGAGAAACGTCGTGTTTGAGCGTCGTCCAGTTGTGGTGTGAGGTGTTTAACAAAGTTGTGGATTTCAAGTTGACCCGTCAAAAAGCATCTTGATGCTACCAGCAGTCTCTGCTCCCCAAAATAACATGTGTCCCTCATAATCTCACTATATGCAAGGCAAATTCTTCAAAAAGCTTTAGATTCTCAGATGTGTCTCAATTAAATCCGTTTGAACGACGGATGGCGGCATCTCTCACAGCATCTTCCGTGGCGGCACGATCGCCGTATGCCGGCCTCGTCGGCCGTGGGTGCAGAAGTGGAAAGACCCGGTGCTCGTCGGCCGCGGCCCAGTGGTCTTGGAATTTGAGCACCTCATCCAGCACCTCATCCTCTTGATGAGAATGTCACGGTGCGTGTTCACCTCAAAAACCTCTTCTTCAATGTGTTTTCCCAGGTGAAACAGGGTCAAAGCTCCAGAGTCCCGAGCTCCAAAGTGGCTTGCAGGTGTTTAAAGCCTTTGAAGATCATGTGTCATGACATGCCTTTTTCCAAGGGAATGAACAAAGGGATATGGCATACATCATACATCTATCACAAAAGATCTTCTTGGTCTACCGACCTTCCAACATCTGTTTCCTGTGGTTTGAAAAAGTTCGGTGTCCAGAAAACCACCAATGCTCGGGCTGCCGGCCTTTCAGAGTCCGGTCCTGGTAATTACTATACTTCCTTGTCTAGGGATCCAGTCGTACCTTCTCAGGTACGACTGGACCCGACCCTGGCACCTACATTGATAACAGTGGCTCCAATCAGTACCTGTCCAGTACCTGCCCCTGGCCGACTCGAACGAAGACGAAACGTGACGTGGGGTGACTCTTCACTCACTTCACGTGGTTACCCCTCTTTCGAAAGCATCGGGTGGGTTTGAAAGCATTTCTGCTCATTTTTACCTCCTTGGATCGACATGAAAGGCGATCCCCGGAATGTTCTTTCGGATCAACACCTGGTGGATCCTGCGCAAAGGAGGGCGAGTCGAAGACCAGGAGCAGCTCGGCACCTGAGCCGGCGCGGGTAGGTGTTTCAAGAAGATCACCAGGGTGACCTAAAGTGACAAACCTGGGTGTAGAAGGGTATTCTTATAGAGAGCTATCCAAAAAGAAGAAGAAGAAGAAGAAGAAGAAGATGATGATGATGATGATGATGATGATGATGATGATGATGATGATGATGATGACGAGATAATGATGATGATGATGATGCTTAGGGCTTAGAGATCTTTTGAAAAAGAAGATGATGATGTTGGACCTGGACTCGTGGAAGGTGAGCTTGGAGTGAACTGTCGCACTGTCGAGGTCACAAACACTCAATGCAAAAAAGACCTTGTGTCATAAAACCCTGCACTCACCTTGAAGAGGTTTTAGAATCCAAATGGGCCGGAGTCACATGGACTGACATGTGATGTCCGGACAGGTTTCTTCTTGATTGTGGAGATCGAGATTCATAACTCACGACGCTTCAACATCACTTCTTCTCCAATCGTTTTGGCCGAAAAACACGCGGTTTTTCTCCGTCCTTTTTCGCAAAGGTCCACTCCCCAGGAGCGTCCACTCCCCGTGTTTTCGCGAGGACCGAGATGAGACTCCGGGCCATCGCACACGCTCACGGCAGGATAGGCCTTCGCTGCGGCCCCCGTCGAGGAACGTCCGAGGGGTTCCAACAAATGGACCGAAGAGGTGAAATTCATGCAACTCACTGAAACAGGCAGACAGGGACAGGAGGAATGGTCTTTTTTGCTATATATATATATATATATGTCTTTTTGGGGAAGGCCTCCAACTCAAAAAAAGAACTTAATTAGACAACCTTCCTAACATCTCTTGGAGCAAAGTACAGATCAGCGAGTCAGTCCTCCACTGCTACACTGCGAATCACTTCAGACACTGTCAACGAGTTGCACTCATGTTAGACATACACGACACTGAATACCAATCAGGTGCCCCCTCTCAGCTGGATAAAACCAACGCCCAAAGGTGTGAAGACAAAAAACGACCCCACAAGGGGGAGGGGCTTGTTGATTTCTTACAAGCAAAACCGCTCCGCTGCAGGTGTGCCATAACTCGACGCCTCGACGCCCTTTTTTCGCTCTCACGTTGGGAAGGGCCTCTGGCAGCGACTGTGAAAAGAGGTCAACAACGTACTATATGGATCTATACCATCCTGTCCGGAGATCCCGGATAGGGCTGGGTAGTCCGGACACCCAAATGGTCAGATGGACATGGATGGATATTGGTAGAAGATCTTTTGAAAGGATCGACACTTCACGCGTTTCACGCGTTTCACAGCTGCCAGAGATCGCCGCAGCCACTTATCGGCACACAGCCGAAATTGGAGAGATCAGATTTCCTGCCTTTACCATGGACCGTTGGCCCTTCTTGCGAGTCTCGACTGTTCGGACCCGTTGATTTTCACTACTGTGTTCACCACGATCTTGACAAGGAGGTAGCTTGTACGTACAGCACCCCTCACCACTCTCTTCCAGGCCAAAAAGACACCAAAATACCTCTTAAGTTGGTTGTCTGGATCGTGATCTCTCCACCTGAAAGCGCCACTCCGGCGCATCACCGCGCTGCACATCACTTCTCCGGGTCGAGGCGACCCACCGGTGGTCCGCGTCATCCGCGGCGTTGCAGCGCCCGTCAGACCGCCTCGCTCTCCCGCCGCTCCATGTCCTGCGCCGCCGACGACGCGGCGGACGCGGAGGCCGCCGCCGGCGCGGCGGTGCGCCGGAGCCGGCGGAAGTTCTGCAGTTCGCGGCGGCGGCGGAAGAGGTCCACGCTCTCCTTGGGGGGAAACGAGGGGATGTTTCGCTGTGGGGGGAACCTATTTAAGTCTTGATTCTTGCTTTGGAGATCCTTTGGACATCTTGGACTAGCTTCCTTCCAGTGAAACTGTCCAACCTTCTAAGGGAATAGCCAATCAAGCTGAGCCAACCAAATGGTGCGCAAGAGAGGTGGATTTCTGTACAGTTTTGTATGTTAAAACGACAAACATGTCTTCCAAGCCACCTTATTTCGCAGCTTCCAAGTCTACAACTTCGACAACGAAAAAATAACACTGCCTTCAAGGTTACGTTGGAAAGTCAACAAACACATACTGTCCAAAGAACCACAAGCAGCTGTTTAAATCTTTTGTCGCCCGTGATGGACAATGTCGGTACTATAGCCAAACCTGATCGCAATATGCGACCAAAGTATCTTCCGCGGAGAAGAGCGTCACCTGTGCAGCGAAGAGTGGTCTCGCGGAGGGAACCGACCTGGCCCCACTGCCACCCACAAGGTCTGAGATCCGAACTGAGCCGGCCTGGTCTGGCCTTCCGAAAAATACCAATACAATTCGGCGCATCAAATTGGTTTCATGGCTGTTTTTTGGTCGTTCGCATGTGCCCATGGTGATTTCCACGCAATTCCCAGGCTCACACAGACACACTTCGAACTTGGGTTTTCAGTTAGACTCAATTGCCACGATGGG